TTTCGGATTGGTGGTTAATGATCATGATGGTTTATTGAAATTTTCTTAGGTGAAATTTTATTACTTCGATTCATAGGGAACGAAGTAATAATGGAAAGGTTTCGATTTGCATTTTTATTATTTTATAAAGAATTATTTCTGAAATCTTTGCTGGGTAAATTGCTTTTTATCGGGATTTTCACCTTTCAGCTTTCACCACGTGATGTAAAAGAATTTCTTTTTAATTATATTACACGTAATAACTCAAAAAACTGTTAAAAATTTCATCTCTTTGCCACAAAATCTTCTCAATCTTTTTTCTTTTTTTTTTTAATGATAAGATAACCGATATTGGAGAATATCTTCTTCGCGAAAGAGAAATCGATCAATTATAAATTTTCGAAATTATCGATAATAGAATAGAATTCTGTTTCTTTCTTTCTTTCCTTTTTTTTTTTCCTTTTAGGTGAAATTAAAGTACGTATCCTATCACCATGAAAAGAGGAAGCAACATATCAGATTTTGCAAATAGATAATAATAATCTGGAAGGAACGAAAAGCTGGGAATCTGAATTTCCCTAATTAAGAAGCCCACGGGAGTCTCAATTAACCGATTCCTTTTTAATATTGCATGAGCGTTTCGCGAGGAAAACATGACATTTGCATATATACACGAATTTCAGACATGTTTCTCACAAAGCTCGTGCCTTCCTTCTTTTCCCTCTTTTCTCTATCTTTCTTTTATCAGTTATTTAATTGGCTTTAATTTATTATTTAAAGAATCAACGCTCTCTTTTCTTATATACATATATATATATATATATATATATCTCTACTTGGATCGAATCCACCATTTCAATTTTTATATATATCTCTCACTTGATACCTTTATTATACTCCATTTTTTTTTTAATACCGTTGAAATATCACCCTTTCTTTTGATCCAAGTTTTTCGACGGCTTGCAATGGAATTTTTGGTATCTCGAGAATTTCAATTTGAACATTCCGAAAATTCCAATCCTTGAAAGAATCGAATCGCGGTTAAAGAAAGAATGCACGCGCGCTTCTCTTGACGTTTCCAAACAAACGTTCAAAGTTGAAATTTTTTGGAAATTTTATATTATATTAATTAACCACGATTTGTTTCCATACACAGCCTCGTTTCTTTCTTCTCTTTAAATATCGTATTTAACGAGTTCGTGGCAAAATTCGAAACGAATCGTGTCTGACCGCTGCTAAGGAGTTTCCACTGAGATTCTCGTCCCCCTGGCGTCGATGGTGGACGAGAATGTTGGGAAAGAGAACGTTGGCACGAGAAAATATCGCGATTTCTTCCATGAAATTCGAATTTTTAACCATCATTGTTGTGCACAAAATTTCAGTTTCACTACTTACCGAAAAATTCTCGATCGAAGTTCAATCCTTGAAGAATTTTTCGAGAGATCTCGAAGGATATCGTCTTATATTCCGAGAAATCACCAAAATGAATTGAAGACATACCTGTAATTAAATAAATTTCATGAAATCAATTTGCAAAGTTTACACGAAGTTTATTAAAATTCAAAAGAACGAAATCATTAGATATCCAATTATCGTTTAATGCAACCCTTATCGTCATTATCGACTTTGGATAGATAGATTTAGATAAACTTTTAAACGCGTGTTCGCTCGAGATTGCATCATCGATAAAGTCTCGAGGAGAAATGTTGTATTTATAAATATACACCACAATACCAAGATTTGTTATCTTGTAACAAGCTCATAAATTCAATATTCGTCCAATAATTTCCATGGAAAAATATCGTTTCTTCCTCTTCTGGCCCAGATTTTTTCAACAGGGTGTTATATTTTAATAAATATCGAGAAGGAGCCATCGAGATCCTCTTCGAAGCCCGCTATTCTCGAGCTACGCGAACTCTGCTTCTACTTCGTTTTATATTCTAATTAATTAGCCTGCTCGTACAATAGTCTAGATCGTTTCACGAATATCGAGATAATTATTTATGAATTTACAGACGAGCGAGCAGTTGCACACTTTTGGCTGGAACACGCGCGCGCCAACACGTACGCACAATCGTGTATGGGATGTAATAACTCTACGTTATGTGTCTACGAATCTTCCTTAGCGCTCTGATTAATACACTAAAAATTACCACGATTGCACTTTAATTACTTGTATCAGCTTAAACTTCCTCCATTTTCAGCATACGTTACGTCTCATTGTAAGTTTTATTTGCCTTTCAGGGGCCGCCATGAAGCACACTAGCGCCACCATCGCTTACAAGTCTCGTAATTAAAGGATATTAGAAATATTTTAGAGTCTACGATGACTAATTAAGACAGATTCATCATATATATAAAAAATATAGAAACATATAAGAAAACAAACATTGAATTTGGATTAGAATCAAAATTCAAAATGGAGATGTTTCTTAAGATTATTGTTTCAAATTTAATTCTCCCCTAAAAAAATTATATTTAGAGATCTAAATCAAACTCACGCGTGAAATCAATGATATTATTATTGTTCACCGAACCATACATTTCAAATTAGTTATGCATTGCGTTACAAATACTAATCTACCTAATCAAATTACTCAATTTGCACTCGATGTGAAATCACAACGAGTATTATTCATTTAAATCGAATCTAATGGAGACATAGAGTTACCTTGAAAGATAGCCACACCTGTGTTTGCATAAGCGATCAAAGATAAACCTATGACTAAATGATGATTTTCATTTGTTGTTTATTTTCTCTTTATTATTCTTTTTTCTTTGTTATTTAGAAATAAAAATATCACTCTGACACGTAACGTAGTAAAATATTTCCCTAAAAAATATACAATAATAGAATATTCTTAATAATTTTCAATCATTATTTTTAGATATCACGTTGAATAATTTTTATTCTCGATACAATGTCCATCATCGAGATTCTCGCCCTGAATAAAGACATTGGCAATAATTATTTCACATTCGATATAATCGACACACACGTATTGACGAAAAAATTAATTTCTCGAGAGTTTCATTCTCAAATATGTATTCGATATCGGTAGAAAGTCATTTAATATTTCGTTGCTCCCTTGTTTCTCGATCTCTTTCTCTTGCTCCCTTCTCGCATCTGTTTCCATTTACTTCGATCGTGGACACGGAATGTCAGAAAACAACGAGGAGGATAGATCGGCGGGAGACAATGATCGTAACGACAATGATATCAAGGAAACTCGAGAGGACGAAGAGGTGAAGATAATAGGGACGGAGAAACGTTGCGTGCGATGCAAAGAAGTAGGTTACTATCGGCGTGAAACGAGCCTCTGATAAGGTTATGATATATCGTTTAACCACTTACATAGGGTGAGGCTATGATGCTTGTGTAATCTAAAAAAGAAAAAATATTTATACATCGTTATATTAATAATTTAATTGTTAGGAATTATAGTTTTATTATAATTATTTTTTCCCATTTTTATAAATCGATTTACGATTTTTGATTGTCTTGTAAAAATATATATAAAATTATATCTTTACGAGAAATATTATTATATATCGATTTGTTTGTTGTGCAAACAAATTCAATATACATTTTGTTCATAATGGGGTTTTTTTTTTTAATGAAATCTTTTTTCAAAGATGCATCAATGAATCGAATTCCACGTTGAAGTATAATTCATTATAATCCGCAATTTTTTACAGTAAAATAATCGATAAAACATTATTATTCAAATTATCAGCTAACTTCAATTATACAACGATAATATTTAATTTGTGAGTTTACAATGTTCATTCATTATTTTCAAAGCTAAAAGAATCGATATTAATTCTTCATAAATCTCTGAAACATAGAATTTCCTCTTTAATCTTTCGTCAAAGTATAATTTTAATAACTAAATTTATTATTGTTAGATATAGCTGTACGATAAATAATTCTAACATTCGATTTCATATATTTTAACGAAAGATTTTAAATCATAAATAACACGTAAATCATAAATAACACAATTACACAAAACAATATTCACGGTAAGATAATTTCTCTCTCAAAAAAAAAAAAAAAAAAAAAAAAAAAAAAAA